AAATTTTATTGAAAAAAAATTTTAGAATACAAGATTTTAAAGAAGATTAAATAATTTTTTTTATTTTTTTTTAATAATATACTTATATATTTTTAAATATTCTATATTTTTTATTTTAATTTATTTTTTTATATAATTTTTTATATTTTAATAACTTAACAAAATAATTAGTATTAATAATTTACTAATAATAATTTAAAGTTTATTATAAATAAAGTTATTTTTAAAATAAAAGAATAGAAATAGAAATCAAATATTTCTTATTAAAAATATTAAATTAATAATTATAAAAAGTCTATATATAAAAGTTTTTTATTGTATCAATTATTAATTTATAATATTTCTTAAATTTTGTTATTATTAAAGTAAAGATTTATAAAAAAAATTTTTTTAAAAAAAGGATATACAGTAAGTGATCTAAAAATTTTGGTATATTAAATATTTTATAAATTTATTATTAATTAAAATAAAATTTAAAGATTTTTTTTATATTTTTGATAAGTTAATTAAATTAATATAAAATTTAACTATATAATATACCATATTACTCAAATAAATATATTTTTTTTATTGATCAATAAACTTTTAATCTAGCTTTAAAATAGTAAATAATTAATTTGATATTTAAATTTTAAAAAAATCTTATTTATATGTTATCGATTAATTCATAAAAAATTTAAATTTAACTTTAGAATTTTAAAATTTTTAAATTAGATAAACTATTTTATTTCATAATTATAAATAAACTTTGATGAGAATTAATATTTAGATTATATTTTTTTAAGAAACTTTTTAATATATAAAATTGCTGAAAGTATATTATTATTTAATAATTTATAGAATTAAATATTTTAAATATAATTTTTGTAGTAAAATAATTATTTTTTAAAAAAATTTTGAGAATGTCAAAGTTAAAATTTAAAATTGAATTTTTTCACAATTGTCTTATTAAAATTTGTCAAATTTTTTGAAAAAAATATTTAAAGATTCAAATTTAAAAATTTTTTAAAAATTTTCGATCTTATAAAATATTGAATGATATCATTCTCTTAACTATTTATTATATTAAAAATTTTCTTTAAAAAATATAATTTAAATATTGATTCTAATATAATTATATTTGTGATAATTAAATTAATTTTAAAAAATTAAGAAATTAATAGTATGAGTAAACTATCTAATTTAAAAATTTTAAAGCTTCAAAGTTGAAATTAATAATAAAAACATAGTAAGTAGACTCAAACTTTTGGAAGCAACAGTATGTGTAATAAAACTAATATAATATTTATTTGAATAATTTAATTTTAAATTAATATATAACAATCTAATATTTTTTAAAGAATTTTATTATACTGTCAATCGAAGTTTTTTTTTTTTTTTATTATTAAAAATAATAAATTATAATTGAGAATAGTCTTAATAAATAATTTTTTTAAAAAAAAAAATCAAACATAAAATTCATAAAAAAATTTTTTTATCAAATATCGCTTTATAATATATAAATATTAAGAATTAAAAAATAGTCAAAATTTTTTAGCATTTTTAATTTTAAAACTATTTATATAAAAGTTCGAATTTAAAAAATATTTAGTTAAGGTCTATTACGAACTTGAATTTTTTAAAAATCATGAAATAAATTTATGAAAAAGTTTTTACGTATATACAACATGTGTATATATGTACTTGCATATTTTGAAAATTTTATAATTTGACCGATCAAACTTTAATCTACCGTCGAAAAGCTAGAGGCCGACAATTTTATTTTAAAAAATTTTTAAATATGAAAAATGATACAAGTATTAGAAACATCGGTGAGATATACAGTAGATGTCTTCAATTTTTATAATTTTTATTGATTTGTCGATGATTCATTGGCCACTACGTATACAGAATTGAATTTATGAATAGATGGTATCATATTTTAGCATAAAACCTTTTCGATAATTTTTGAAGTGGAGGTTTAATTTAATTTAATGTAAATCTTGTTTATTATTAATTTAATTTATTGGATAATCAACGTTCCATTGTACGTAGCACCCGCTATGATTGGATTTTAAATGAGTCGTGTGAACGATTGGGTTAATGCACAATGAATTTTGTCGAAAAATCAATTCTAATGCACGGCTTCATATTCGAAGGTCATTTCGCATAAATGAAAATAAATAGAATCGATGGAATAAATGGAATAGTGATATCGATGGTGATGCTATTTATACTATAATTGACATTAGTAATATTTGTTAATAATTATTGATATTCGTTATTTAATAATAATAATTATTGATATTCGTGCTGCCAATTATTTAATATTTATTAACACAATGAATTCCAAACGTACAGTATGTATTCCATGGTGAATCAATTAAATATACACTGTATATGTATGTACAGTATATACAGTATATAAACTTTACCCACTGTATTTTGTTTCGCGCGTTTACAGTATGACGTATGGTGATGATTTTGATCATTGAGATATTTGTTGTTTTGTTTCATCGCAATAATAATAATTTTTTCCCCCTTAGGAGAAATTATTCGTCAATGGGTTACGTAAGAGGACAGTGATGGTTACTCCATAATTTAAAACTTTAAATTAACAGGAACATACGGTACGCCGCATATTACTATTGGGAGCAACAATCGTTAGGAAAGGTAAATTCCAATTTTAGAATTTTATTAAAAGTATTACTTGCACAAACAGGAAACCTTAAATTATCAGGAAATATACGGTGCATACAGCGCACCGCATATTACCACCATCGAATGTTAAAAGGTATGGATTTGAAATTTTACTAAAAAGTATCGCACGCGCAAATAGATTCAATGGTTGATACAATCAAATGTGCAAGAAATATTGTTCCTTGAAAATTCATTCGGTGGAATCCAATGAAATATCATTGTTCATGGTTTTAAAACTTTTTTTTTTGAATAGTCCGTCACATAAATGATTGTTTGAATAACAAATCAAATATTTGTTACCTGACATATTTCGAAGAACAATTTATGAATTCAAATGATGAATTAAAAAGATCGAGATAGGTGCTCGAAAAGAATGCGCAATCTTAAAAAGGAAGACGACAATTTCGCGCTTCTTGGCGGGTTCGGTGATGAAGGTGCTGTTCATCACTCCAAAATAATCGCCATATCATTCAGGGTAAGATGACACAAATCCTATTATACTCGACAAAAAAATGTCCGAATAAGGGTGTGATTGTAACTCCAACACCATTCACCCGATAGGTTGTTGGTTTCAAGAGGTTATCAGGTTCGTGCAAATAATTGTGTGTCATGGGAACAAATTAATTGAAATCTGCGCAATTTATAAGCCGTCGTCTTATTATCCGCTGAAAATTTGATACATTTCGTGTGTCACGCTCCTTCTAGTCGCCCGAAGACAATAAAAGCCTTGGTTAGGAAAGTGAGTAAGTCAGCTTCACGGTACAAATTTCCAATTGCAATGTATGAATGATTTCAGGTTATGGGTCTGGATCGCCTTCAGAATAATCGATCACTTGGAAAAAGCATAAGGAATTTGAATCCAATCGACTCATTTTTATTGAATAGGAACCAATCATCTTTGACCGGCGTTGTTCTCATGCATATCGGGGCGATTGGTTGGCACGGCTCCACTGACGTGAACCTGTGCGTCCATTGCCGGGCACATCGTGCTTGGCTCGGAAGAGATTCATTCCCAAGAATTGTAAAGAATCAGAAAACATCCAAGACTCTTTATACTCGGCGGAAATGAGATAATCGCAAATAAAAGTGAAATTGCTTACCCAAAGAGAATGGCGCTCGGAGCGTTTGCGAGGAATCGAGGGACGCCGAGATACCAGGGGAACAAAAGTAAACATCCATCCGGTTAGCGTCTCTTGGACACCTCATGAGATGAATGAGCCCAAATTTTTTTTGCTCAAACAACAACAATAATATGCGACACAACGTCCTCATAGCAAAATAAAATAATGAATAACACATTTCCATTGATGCCGAGTTATTTCACACACGATGTTTAATTGTTGAGTGTATCGGAGTTAAACCAGACCTTCAATTGTAATCTGAAATTTTTAATTGTTGAACATATGAATTAAAGTAAAGGTATATCGATTCTTTTGGGAAAAACCAGTCGGAATAAAGTTTGAGGTCTGTTACCCTCCCATTCAATGCATGTAATCTTAAATACGTGTTACAATTACGCGCATGACAAGTACGCGGCGAAACAATGAACGCGCTCACTGTTTTTTTTTTTACAAGAATCAACATAAAGATCGACCTTGTGGGACCCTTTCAAAATAAACTTTGTTTTACTTGAAAAAACGCGGGACTTTTGGAAGCCGCTTACCAATAGAGGAATTGGACCGCGGGTAAATAGATAAATAAAATAAAATAAAATAAACAAAACTCTCTCAATTTGACCAAAAGATCTCGCCAAAGAGTAATCTAAATGGTTTGGTTGGAAGTTGAATAAAGAAAGGTCAATGGGTGAGGTCATAATAAACTATTGAGGTTTTTTAGAGGTGACTTTATTGAAGTGCCTTTCATTGGATCCAAGATTAATAATTAATGCACGTACATTCACGAGCGTCATGTCAAATGACATGTAATTAATTCTATTTTAAGAAGTCGTTTTGTGTACATTTTCCTTTATAGCAGTGAATAGGATCGGCGTGAATGCTGCTATAGGCAGCTTTCCAAATAGAGAACACAATTGATCAAATCGGTGACGGAAATCGGAAATATACAAATTAGGCATCGGAATATATAAATGGCTTTCTCATCCGTTTAACTTACCCACTTTTCTTTTGATACCGTAGCTCAATTAGAGATTTCATTGATTCGTCACCTTTCATACTTAGTGTCGTCATACTTAATCTATCTTTCGCGAAATAGTAATAATCGACCGAGCGCCGACTTTTATCTTATTTATTAAATTTAATTTTCTTTTGATTTCTCCTTCATATTCTGTTCTTGCCAATTTTCATTCATCCTTATCCTTTAGAATGAACTCTCCTCCTTCCTCGTTGGTCAAATTTCCCCATCACCCCCCACTTAACGCTTTGACACGTTCGAACCCTTTCCAATCCGATCATACCTCCACCACATCGACCACTCACCATCCCCAAACCAACCTACAGCAGGCCAGCACTCTTCGTCCGACACCGATTAATCTGGTAGCCAAACCTCGAAATACCTGTCATTTTCAACCTACCACCCAATACCCTTATTATCACTCTCGATCCGAGAATGAAGGTATCACAACGGAAACCCTTGATGACATAATTAATTCAATCCTCAGCGATGAAGAACGTGTCAAGTATGAATCAAAATTGTTTCTACCTCTTCACGATCTCATATTTCCCAGTAATCGTCCAAAACGCACCGCCACTCGTTCCCAGAACAGTTTCATCATATTCCGAAAAGACTATCAGGCTCGCATAACTGCCGAGCAAGGACCCGAGGTCGGGTCACGACTTAAAGATATATCTCGCAGTGCGAGCATTTTTTGGAGGAATTGTTCACCAGAGGATAAGTACATGTATGATCGGATTGCTGCGTGTACCAAAAAATTGCACGACAGAATGTCTCCCAATTACATATGCAAACCGATGAGAAAGTATGATGGCCACTGTGGGAATGGTCGAATTTTTGAAAGATATTCGGCCACCTTTTTTATGCCAATCTCTCAAGATCAACGAAACAGAGTACCTTCCTCGTCTTCTATAGGTCACACCTACTCGTATGCTTCTGCAAATCGATGCGCAAAACCAATTTCTAACCATTTTAGTAACAGCCATTCTTCAGGCAATAATGATACCTATGACTCGATATGTTTAAGACTGGAATCTATCAAACGCGATTCCATTTCGCATTGCCAATTTAGGCCATCAGGTGCCCGACTGCAAATCAACTCGTTATCTTCTTATGACAAATCTCTCATAGAATCGGTTGATAGAAACACTCGGATCTGATTTCATTATTATCATTGTTATTCCCACATACATACAACATTTTTTTCTTCTCCACCAATCAGCAACAACAACACCGTCACCACAGCAATATCTATGATTTAATTCCAATCCTCCTTATTGTATCACGACTTACGTATGATATTATACAGTATAATATGTGAAAAAGTTTTTATTTATTCGATAGTACGATTTCTTTTTCACAATTTCTACGTGTACCATTTCTCCCTCGTATCAGTTTCTTTTGATTTAACCTACGTCAATTGCAAAAAAAAAAAAAAAAAAAAAAAAAAAAAAAAAAAAAAAACCAAACAAAAAAAAAAAAAAAAAAAAAAAAAAAAAAAAAAAAAAAAAAAAAAAAAAAAAAAAAAAAAAAAAAAAGAATATTAATGAAAATAAAAATAATAAAAATAAAAATAAAATAAAGTAAAAATAAAATAAAATAAATAAATGGAAAAAGAAAAACGGGTAATGTAGATAGCATATACCTATATGCATAGCGTGCTTTGTAAAACTCATCTAAAACTCGGGTTATGGTGCTTTTCAACTCCTACAAAATTCGGTTCATATAGATTAATTAGAGATCCTATAAAAGTGTTCATTGATATAAATTAGAGTTTTTTTATTTGTTTAAAATAATCAACATTCGGTGACAATAGTATATACATAATTAATGTTAACTGAAAAAGAAAGACAAACTGTTAACTATATATAAATAGCGCATGTCGTCGAACTTGTTGACATTGATAAGACACGATTGAATTGATCAGGATCAGGTACGTTTACACATCAAATGTGATAGGAATAAAAGGCGTTTAACACTTAATGCCTCTGATTGGGTCTCTATAGGTTAATATTATAGTCATAGGTGTGTGCATGCGGGTACAACAGTTTATGAAGATGATGCCTGAACATGGTTAGTCATGGACCGGGGAACTCATTCATTAAGAAAAATTGACCTGCAAAATCCTATCCGTGAAAGGAAAATGGCGCTACTTTGTGTTTTACTCACAACCCATGCCCATAAATTCGTCATTAAAATTTCTCCACGGGCTAATTACGACGAGTGCCGCCACCTTTTTGATGTTTTTAAATTGTCTCCTCTTTCTTTTGCAATTGTTCCTCTTTAGATTGAATGAATGGGGGGAGGTGAACGCACAGGATTAATTGCTACAAGCCGTTAACGGACAATAAAGGTTTTACGAGTGCGAGTGCGGCTTGCCGGTATCTAATTCCCTGTGGTCCCAACAACATCCACCAAACGCATTGACTACATATTGTCCGACAGAAACAGATTATACTTTCTATTGGTGGAAAATGTTATATTCCGGACCCTTGGATTACCTCCATAATCAACAAACAAATGTAAAAAAAAAAAAAAAAAAAAAAAAGATAGGAACAGGAACAGGAACCTAAACGGGAGAAAAGCGGTGCAGTCTACTGCATGAATTCTGTTCGACATTCGCGTATATGGTTATATGCACGGCTTACGTTAAAATTTTTTGTCCAGACATTCAAATTTTTCCTTTTGGAAGGACAAAATTCGCACCCACCAATCCTTTCTAATTTTGACATGAAGTAACCCGGGTACCCGATTCCAAAAAAAAAAACCCTCATTCAAATTGTGTTGTGTCACGAACTTCTTACGGTGAGAATAATAAGATGCATCGCGAACTATAATTTGCTCTTCAAAATTTCGGGTTCGCACTAGATAATGTATGTACTAGACTTTCCATCGGGTTTTATTCCGAGTTCCTAATTCATCTTTATAAATGTGAGCGCGTCGCATAAGTTTAGTGTATCTGTTTTCCATTTATGACAAAGTTTCGTAACCACAGCAAATCTGGATTCTGAATAAATCATTGAATCCATGCGAAGATAACAAATAAAATCATGTAATGGTTGATAAATATCACTCTTTTTGGAAGTGGATTATTGTCACTATGTAAATCCGTATGATAAGCGATCTTTTGGTTAATAAACAACGCATCTGCTTGACACGTTTAGATGACAAGATTCCCCTAGTATTCTACGTCGTGTATCAGGCCACTTACATTTGACTTCTCAAATCGTTATTTGGATTTGAATGCATGAAGGTTGATATAATTATTGGGATGACAGTCTAACGGATAAACCGTCGATTGGGGAGGTAAGAACGGTAAGCCGATTGAATCGCAATTTCAATTGGAACCTCTAGGGATCCTTGCGATCTCCAAAAAATTTTCTTCCCGTCATTTGTGTTTGCGCATGTACTGTACGCACATTATGTACGAGCATACATGATGTCAATAAAAAGTATGCACGAAGGTAAATACTATATAAACATCAAATAACCAGCAAATCATGAATTAAATTACACTTTTCCTTTTACGTTCATGAAAAACCAAAGCCAGTATAACCCTGGCAGTGCAATTATAACAATTACTTACTGTACGTGTGCGTACAGACCTAGCGTGACCCCCAACAGATTACAATTGTAAAACACATCGATGTGGATTTCCTATCTGCAACAATGATTTTCGGCTTGGCCCGGATTTTTTGGAGGGAAATTTTTATGTGAGCTTTGCAGAAGGTTCACAAGTGCATAGAATCAAACGGTTTACTGCAAGGTGAAGATTTTTTATTTTTTGAAACTAGTAACCTTGAGAAAAGGAAAAATGAACGCGATGTAGAAACCCCATTCAAATTATTACTCACACCGAAGATTGATTTCTTTCCGACGTAGTCTCACGCGAACGGGGGAAATCCACATTCTGTGTATTAAAATTTAAAGTTGACCCTGAAATTTTGATTTTTCCGTTTTTTTTAGCCACAGTAAAGATCCACAGGGTACGTAAAATTCGGTCCTTTGATAAACGCGTGACAGGTCGTGACACAATATCGAAGAACCATAATTACAAATTTGCATGCAAGTGAATGTGAACGAATCGACCGAGTATGCTAAATGTTCGAGTATAATACAAGTAACAAACAGGTGACAACAAACAGTTTTTGTGAACTAAAATGGGTTCATACAATTTTCAGTAAAACAGGTTTATTGTATCATCATCATCATTGTTCTGATTTATTTACAGTGTTAACGTGAATAATAATAGTTTCCAACAAGTATACAACATATTTTTATAATACTCTCAAACAACAGCTAATAAAAAAAAATTCATTACCACATTACTGGGCAAACGATAATGGATAGACACTTGAATATGAAATTATAAGAAATCAGGTTCAAAAAAAAAAAGATCTTATTAACAATTTCAATTTAAACTAGTCTATTTGGTCTTTGAATGTTTTTAATAAAACTAACTCGAATATTCAATGATTGATTCAATAATAAATAATAAAATAAATAAAATTGAAATATACTATATACTATATTTATTGATCAATGATATTCGTGTGGTAAAATTAAATTTCAAATAGTAATATAGTAATTGATAAGATCAATTAATTATAGTATAATCACTATATATAGTAAGATCACCAATTTTATCACATGTATAGTTAATAATAATCAATTGAATTTTCATATTATTAAACTTTTTTTTAAAAAAAAATATTATAAAGTTTTTTTAAACTAATCTATTTTCAATTGATTGAATCTTTAACTAATTGGTATTCTTTTCTTTAATAAAATTTTTTATCTTATTCAATCAATTATAATATTAGTAATATGATTAATAAAATCAAATATTAATTAATTGATTACAATAAATATTATTTTATATTACAATTGATTTCTTAATAATATATTTTAGATTTATAAATTTTTTTAAAATTTTTTTAAAAAAATATTTATTTAAATTAAATATAATAAGCAATAATTGAAATTTTTAAAATTATATTGTATATAAAATTATAACAATAATAAAAATTTGAATAAAAAAAATTGATGAATTTATTTGATTCTTTTAAAAATTATTCTAATCATTTTACTAATTTTAATTTTAAAAATATATTTAATATATTAATTTCAAATATATTTATCATAAAATTTTTAATTAATAGTACTTTATTATTGATTTTTTTTTTCAAAAAACTTTCTTATTATAAGTAAAAAAGATAATTCTTGACTTTTTTTAATCATTAAAAATTAAGTTTTTATAAAAAAAAATTTTAAAAAAAATTAAAAAAAATTCTTAGAATTATTTTTCAAGTATTTTATGAAAAATACTATGACTTTATTAATATAAAAATATAAAAATTCTTATAAATATCTTTTTTATATATCATCAGAAAACAATAAAAAAAGCTTTAAATCTTTTAAAATAATTCTTTAATAAAAATTTATATCAAATATTAATTATAATTTCTTTTAAAAAAAATATAATTATAATTATTTTATTATTAATTTTCTAATTATAATAAAAAATATTTATTAAAAGTTTTTATCTTTATAATTAATAAAATTTTATTATTATTTTTAAACAACTTAAAAAGTATTTTATAAAATTAAAAAAAAAGATAAATAATATTTTTGTTATCAATAACAAAATAAAAAAAATTAATTATAAGATATTTAAAATCTTTTTATTTTTAAAATAAATTTTTATAAAAATTGATTGTAGTAAAAATATTTATTTTCTTTTTTATTTTATTTTTTTTTAAAAAAATTTTACTTTTCTTCATTTTATTCTAATTTTAAAATAATATAATTCTTATTAAATATTATTAATTAATATACAAAATATTAATTTTTCAAATATAAAAACTTTTTTATTAATCCTTTAAGCAATACATAAAAAAGGTATTCACAAAATATTTTTTACTTCTATATTTATAAAGTCTTACTATTTTCTTTAAACTAACTTGAAAAATAATTTTAAAAAAATTTTTTTTTTTAAAACCCTCTGTCAGGCTAGTTATGTATGCTTTATTAAACAATTGTAAGCTGTACATATAGTATAAATCGCTAAAGCTAAAA